CTGTTAACAGTCAAGAATACTTATACCGAAGTAACTTTTCTCCCCTTCTAGACTGCAATCCCCAGGATGGCTGGAGCATATTTGTCTAGTTCAAATTTGCATGCAGGCAACTCTTACATGAAACATTTAAAAATTTTTATTGAAGTAGTTGATTTACAATGTTGTGTTAGTTTCTGGTGTGCAGCATGGTAATTCAGTTATACATACATATATATTCCTTTTCATATTATTTTTCATTATTGGTTTTTATAAGCTATTGAATGTAGTTCCCCGTGCTATACGGTAGATCCTTGTTGTTTATCTTACATATAATAGTTTAATCCCAAACTCCTAATTTATTCCTTCCTACCTCCTTTCCCCTTTGGTAACTATAAGTTTGTTTTCTCTGTCTATGAGTCTGTTTCTGTTTTGTAAATAAGTTCATTTGTGTCATATGATCTTACATGCAACATTTTTATTGCCCAAGTTAAAAAAAAGCAAGAGGTTTCACAAACAGATCCAGATTTTTGGCTTTTCTTGGACAATTGGAAGTCTTGGCTCCATTATGCTAAGATTTCTGCATGGCAACCTGGGTGGATCTGAGAACCAGCGGCTCTCTTTAGACATCAGTTCTGAAGATGAAACTGACACCCAGAGGAGGATGACCTTGAGAAAAAATTTTCATAGGAACAATGTGCTTGGCTCATTCACATTACATGCCTGCCCCCTATAGGCAAGTGAGTTTGTGAACCCTTTGGACACTTAAGGGGCCCAGTGCCAGAAATGAATGAATGAATGAATGAATGAATGTGTACACTTCCCCAATTCTTGACATAGTGTATAGCACATAATGTATCAAATATTTTGATATGATTTATCTTCTAAAGAAGAATGGACCGAATTAGATTCAGTGTGTGGCTCTCAATTTAAACAAATATTCACACACAGCGTTTATTTCTGGTGTGCAGTTTATTTTTCTGCCTTAGGTGAGCATGTTGGCCTCAGGGCGCTCAAAATCACAGTTCTCCTTAAAACCAAGCCTTTACATTTTCACTCCAGTAGAGGGCGAAATCAACCACGATTAAGTGAACGGCAGTTAAAGGTGGAATACCTTTAAGGCACGCCCCATCAAGGAACTGAGGAAGGAGTCATAGTCAGGATGAGAGCCACTTTGTTGTTGTTATTTAATATTCTTTTTTTTCTTTTTTCAGCTTTTTCTTATTTTTTGGGATTTTTTTGCTTGTTTGTACTTTTTCTTATTTATTTTTGGGGGGGCGGGTAGTAATGAGGCCATTTATTGATTAATGGAGGTACTAGGGATTGAACCCAGGAACTCATGCATGCTAAGCAGGCAGTCTACCACTGAGCTATACCCTCCCCTCCAATAAACCCTCCCCCTACTTTACCCAAAAGGTGTTTCAAACATACTGTTCTGTACTTTGCTTTGTTCTCTCATGATGTGTCTTGTAGAACCATCCATATCAGCACATAGAGAGAAGGCTCCCCATTATTGTCTATTCATCTGGCCCCCTAGCAATGGGGGACTTCCGCTACTAGAAATAAAGCTCAATGACCTTGAATATATTTTGCACACACTGGAATGTGTCTATAGCAGTGGCCGTCAGCCCCCACTACACATAAGAATGACTGAGGAGGCTTTTAAAAAATCCCACCCCCTAAGTCATACCTCAGAATCTCTGATTGTGGGACCTGGGCATGTAAGGTGCCCTATGTGCTCTCAATGTCTAGGGGAAGTTGATTGGTGGAGATCATACAGATTTGTAAATTTGCTAGGTATCAACCAATGGTTTCCCATAGCTGGTGGTGCCAACATGCCCTCCCACTGGCTTGGATGAGAAGGCCTGGGTCTTTAACGCCTTGTGCTGGTCATATTGCTTTTTGCCAACCTGCTAATATCTCAGTCTTGCTCTAGTTTGCATTTCTTTTATTGGGGCTTGAGATTGAGAGTCTTTTCATGCGTTTAAGAGCCTCTTGGAGGTTGGGGGTATAGCTCAGTGGCAGAGTACATGCTTAGCATGCATGAGGTCCTGAGTTCAATCCCCAGTACCTCCATTAAAAAAAATAAACTCAAAAAAATGTTAAATGTTAATCTCATCCAAAATGTACCTTTTTGAAAACATCTAGAATAATGTTTGACCAAATAACTGGGCACCATGGCCTAGTCACATTGACACATTAAAAAACCAGAATATATATACATATATATATAGCTTCTTGATCTGTCTGGTCATATCCTGTGCCCATTTTTCTTTTCTTATTTTTAGGTTGGCTTCTTCATATGCCAGCAAGACAAATTCTTTGTGATTTGAGTTGTAAATACTTTCCACTGCTTTGTCTTTTTTTTTCCCCTTTGAAGAAGACTTTTTATATATTTGAATGTATCCATCTGGATTTTAAGTCATGGTTAGAAAGACCTTTTCCATTTCAGACTTATAAAGGAAGCTTCCTACTGTATAGCACAGGGAACTATATTCAATGGCTTGTAGTAACCTGTAATGAAAAAGAATATGGAAAAGAATATGTGCATATATATATATATATATATATATATATATATATATAATAAAAATATATATATATATATATATATATATATATATAATACTAGAATCCAACTTATCGCTTGGAACCTACTTACGGAAAAACTTAAATAACCAAACAACTTTCAAATCAACTATACTTCAAAAAAAAAAAAAAGAAGCTTCCCATGTTGTCTTCTGGCACTTTTGTGGTTTCCTTTATTTACAGGTAAATCTTTGATCCTTTTGGAATTCAACCTGATCTATGGTGTGAGGGGTGGACCCATCCTTGTTTTCCTCTCTAATGGCCAATTGTCCCACTACCTTTATTTAAATGTAAGCTAGGAGCTGCTTTGGGCTGGGCTGCATCAAACTGGAATTTCTCTGTTTTTGTCTTTCTATTTATAGCACACCAGCTACTACTTTCCTGAAAATGTGGTCCCATCCACCACCCCCACCCCTACTTTACCTGTCCGTTGCTTGCTTGATTGATTTCCTTTTGTTTGTTACTGTGAATTTTATTATTAATTGGAAATTGTCCCTGACCTTTAGGGTTTCTAGTTAGATCTATTTTAGCTAATAACCAACAACGATGACCTTTTGTTGAATGTCTAGTCTAACATATTTGTTTACAAGTATCTGTTCCATTAAACCATAAAACAAACTTATAATGTCAGTACTATTACTATTCCATTGGAGAAAGTAATCTCAGAGTTTTTGGGACTTGTTTAAGGGCCCACAATTAGAGGCAGAACTGGACACAATTCAAGAGCTGGGTCTCTGGGGTCCAGCCTTTTTACATTGACCCTGTTACTGGTCTTTGTGGAATGACTGCAGGAGGGAATGAATGAGTGAGTCAGTGAGGGACGGAAGAAGATAGAATGAGTCAGCTCCAGCACTCAGAGGAACCCAAAGGGGAAGATAAGATGTGAATGCAAATAACCAGAACACAAAGTAAACAGTGATCCCACCAGAGTTTTGGAAGCAGTCCACTTTCTATCCCCTCTTATTTAAAATGCTTAATTCTTTCCAACTCCTCTCCACCTAGAAACCACGGAGCCACACACTGGGGTGGGGGAAGTCTCCTTTGGTTTGATCCATGAAGTCACTCACTCAGAGGTCCCCAGTGAGGTCCCCTGTGGAGCGCGGCAGCCTTGCAGCCTGGGAGGGGAGGGAGGAGGGAGAAGGATATGGAGGAGGGGGATGCAAGGTGGGGGAGGGGAGAGGAAGGGAAGGATAAGGAGGGGAGGATTAGAAGGAGAAGGGGAAGCTGGAGGAGGAAGAGGGGAAAGGAGTGGAGGTGGGAATAGGTAGGAGGGACAA